GGAGGATTAACAGGAGGTCTGCCAGGAACAGCAGGTCCAGGAATACCAGCAGGTTGGAGCTCTACATTATTAGGATGAACACCACCACCAGGCATACCAGGAGCACCAGGATAAATATGATCATGACTAGCCATCACATATCCACAGAAGCAGTACAGGATGAAAGGCAGTAGGCACAGCACGTGTCCCATCATCTTCTTCATAGCCATAATAGTGGTTGTTGGGCTTTGCTTAAAAATACTCAACTACAAAGAAAAAACAATATGAGAGATTAACAAAATGCTCACAATACCAAAACACAAGCGTGTACAAGTAGTAAAGCATAAAAGAACCTCAACAGTGTAGAGAAAAAAAGATTATTACAAAGAAAGCAATACAGCAAATCTAATTCAGTAAACTTAGAAACAACAAGACATCCATATCATCAAAGACTCTCGCAGTACAGTATAGAATGCCAACAGCAAACAACAAGCAAAGAAAAAGATATTAATCATTAACCCAACGTACCCAATAAACACAGAAATACACACCAACCATGGGTGTAAGTCTATATGTGTATATATACGCAATTATAAATATAAATTCATCTGTTAATATTATTTCTTTTTTCTCACTTCAAAAAGCAGTTCATCATCATTATCACAGTGCAAGCCCAGGTGCACACACAGAGAGAGTCTCCAAGAACACACACACACACACAATGGAGTAGCAATAATAATAATTATTATAGGATAAACACAGAGAGAGCAAAAAGACACACAAAACACATATTAAGAAACAAAAAAAAGAAGATAATCCCAACAGGTGGAAGATTAGTTAGAATGTAGGGATGCATGCAAAGAAGAAAAAAAGAAAACAAAGGATGACCTGTGTTACACCACCACCACCACCACCACCACACAATCAGCACACAAGAATACAGGCCATTGTAACCACAATCAGTAGTGGCAAACGCACCCACACAGAACTGTTGATACTGCTGCTGCTGTCTGCATCACCCTTCTTGTTGTTTGTGAGTTCAGGAGGAAGTGTTGTTGTTGTTGTTGTGGTGGTAGTGTTGGTGGTGGTATCTGTATTTCCCGCACTTTCGAGGTTGCTTGTTGATTCACCCCCCGAAGATGTTGTACCATCTTCACTCGATGCAGGATTAGAACCAACTTCACTCGCTGTGGCTGTAGCGTTAGGAGAAGATGGAGGTTGTGATGTTTCACTTTCACTGCCTTCACTGTTTCTGCTGATTCCAGTGTTAGGTTCACTTGGAGGTGCCTCAGGTCTCCTAGCAGAATCAGTTGGTGCAGCAGGTACTTGTTCACCTTGATGTACCGGAGTTTCCTGGTCAGCGTGAGCACCAGCACGACGTGCTTCACCAGCAGCAGGATCTTCAACAGGATAAGCTTGACCTTCTTTTCCTGTTAACTCTTGTTCTCTTTCTGTAGATGGATCCCTACCACCATTACTACCACCAGATGTATCTTGAGAAGTAGGAGTACAAGTGACACCAGTATCAGCACCAGGACATGAACCAGCAGCAGCGGCAGCATCAGGAACAGTACAAGGTTGGGTGCCATTAGTGCAAGTACCACTAGATCCAGGGACAACACCAGGTGCAGGAGGATGAACACCAGTATCAGGTACAGAAGGAGGACAATCAGTCCCAGAACCAGAAGTGCAATGAGTATTAGGCTCAACTTTAGCACCTCCAAGAACCCCGCTAGCGGACACGCAGAGAGAGGCAACACTCAGCAGGAGAACAAAAAAACACAACACGCGTCGCAGCACCATCACGAAAAAAATTAATCCTCGTTTGTTTTCTTAGGTATATAAACTGTTAAAGCACAAAAAAAGAAAATATAGCAAAAGTAAAATGAATTGGAAACACACACGGGAAAGAATGCAAGAATCAAGCAACAATCACTCAAAAGAAGAACACCAACATAAACAAAAAAAAGAAGAGTAAACAGACACCTCACAAAGAAAAGCCCACGCAAAAAAAAAATTATAAACAAATTACGAGCATAGCCAAGAAAGCTACAAACTGCACGAAAATAACACAGGGCCCATATGTGCATTTGTACATAAGCAATTAACAATAAATATGTATCAGTTACTCTTTTTTCTTCAGAAAGCAAATCAGTACAAGGCAAACAAAAGCAAACAAAGAAAAAGATATTTCAACAATTAGCCCAACGTAATCAGTAAACACAGAAATATACACCAACTATGGGTGTAAGTCTATAAGTGTGTATATAAGCAATTATAAATATAAATTCATATGTTATCATTATTTCCTTTTTCCCACTGTAAAAAGCAGTTCATCATCATTACAGTACAAGCCCAGGTGCACACACACACAGAGAGAGTCTCCAAGAACACACACACACACAATGGAGTAGCAATAATAATTATTATAGGATAAACACAGAGAGCAAAAACACACACAACACACACATTAAGAAACAATAAAAAGAGAAACCCAACAGGTGGAAGACCAGTTAGACTGTAGGGATGGATGCAAGAAAAAAAGAAAAGAAAACAAAGGATGACCTGAGTCACACCACACCACTTTCACCACCACACAATCAGCACACAAGAATACAGGCCAGTGTAACCACAATCAGCAACGGTGCTACAGTGCGCATCCACACAGGACTGATACTGCTGTCAACATTGGCCTTTGTCAGCATATTTGGAGGAATAGTGTTGATCACTGCGTTAGGTACAGGAACAGGAGATGGAGTGGTAGTTGATGCTTCTGTGGTAGTGCTCTCGGAGCTTGGCGGAGTAGTGGAATTGGTTTCTTCTGAGTCTGCGGCAGTCACACTTCTCTCTGCAATAGTTTGATTACTGGGATTACCATCACTGGGTGCAGTACTCACTGCTGCTGGGGAAGACTGCTGCGTAGCATTACCAGGATTAACAGTACTGTTATCTGTGTCTGTTTCAGACTCATTTTGTGTTTCTGTTTGTTTGGAATCAACAAGTTCAGGTGATTGTGCGACAGTAGTTGTTACTGCTGTTGCCTTTGTTCCAGTAGCAGTTGATGAGGATTCTCTCCGTGCAGCGTCACTTTCTGTAGGTAGAGTTTCTGGCATTGTGGGACGATTTGTATCTTTTTGTACGACAGTAGATACAACTGAGCTATCCTCCCTTTCCTGCTGTTGAACCTCTAATTCCTTTTCTCTTAAGACCCCAGGAAAGCCAGCTGGTCGTGAATCGTTTTCTTCTTGTATTATTCCATCTGTTTCTTTATGTTGCTCGCCTTTTACTGATTCTTTTTGTTGCAGTAGCTTCGCATCGTTCTCCTTCTTTAGCTTCTCTTCCTCCATTTGCTTCTCCAGCTCCTTCCGCTTATCTTCATCCTCTTTAGTTTTCCGTTTCCTTTCCTCTAGCCACTCGGACAGAGACATGTCCCCCCAACCGCCAATTTG